GTTCAATAAATAATGCAATACAATAGCAAATATAATTATTAATACGTTCCTACAATTTGTAGACATTGAAAGCATGTTCGCGTTGATGGTTCTACCAGAATTATTACGGCTAAAAAACAGGAAAACTCAAAGCAGTCTAGTTGAGATTCTCAGTGTAAGTATTATAGCTATTTAATAATATTTTTAACAAAAAGTGATCTTTACAGTTAATTTAGAGAAGGCGAAAGGTTCAGTTAACATCACATAAAAACCACAGTATTTTGCTAAAGTAAAATATCATATTTACTTCATATATTACCTTTACTCTATCTTTCACTGTTGAGAGTTGGAAAATTATTCTTTGTACGGTCTTACATTCTTTATTGAACAAATTGCTGTTGAATATATGTCAAATCAGCGTACTAGAACGCAGCCATAGTAGGGGTGCACCGGAACTCGGTTCCGGCCGGAACCCCGATTTTTTAGAGTTCCGGTTCCGGCCAGAGCTAATAAAAAAAGCATGGCCGGAACCGGAACTCTGTCGTTTTCAGACAGATAGAATATCAAACGTTTTTGTGTCTAACAAAAGGTCATAGTAGGAAGATATTTGGACTACGTAAAGGGAAATGTACACTATTAACACTTCATTATGGTGTTTAACATTTGTCAATCTTTTCATTCTAACATTTGCGAGCTCTCTCCTTGAAGACTTAAAGTGTCTGCCTGTCTGGCAGCAGACAAAGTAACATAGGACTACATATGGCTCAATAAATTAGTTCCGGTTCCGGCCGGAACTTTTTTCCAGTTCCGGTCGAATCCGGTTCCGGCCGGAACTTAAAAAACTGGTTCCGGTGCACCCCTAAATTGCCATAGTGTACTTAAACACTGTTGCTAATCTCTTTTATAGTGGGAAAATATTATGCTACTTTTACGTTTTATTTTTAGGAAGACGATGATTTCCAAGCTTTTGTGAGTGGGACAACTTTTCCGATGCTCATGGGCGTTGGAGAGAACCCGTTGGTTCCCAATCGTCTGGCAATTTGCGTGGAAGGACAAGTTTTGCTAGATGTAACTCATCTCCCAGGAGAGACAGTAATATCATGTTTGTATTGTGTTTACTATATTTTTTCTATTGCTTCCCCAGTTGAACACAAAGATTTCTTTTATTTTATCGATTCTTATTTATTTGGATTGGAATGTTCTAACGGACAGAAACGCATTTCTGTCCAAACATTCGTTAAAGATTTGGTACAGTATACGAACAAAGAGTAAGCAGTATTAGGTAGTATTACGTGCTTGTCTCGAGTTGATATGTTAGCGAAGTTTATTGGATAATCTTTTTTTCCAATTTCCACTAAAAATGTACTGTGCATGCGTTATGCCATTTTAATATTTTGGTATTTATAACCAAGAACGTAAAGAAGTAAAGCGTTGCTTGCTATAATGAACGGTCCGTTATTGTATCTATGTTATGGTACTGTACGTTGTATTTATTAATTATTCTTTGCAAAATAATTAAAATTTTTCACCAAGGCATTGCTTGATTACTCGTTTTGTCCATTAATTGCTATACATATGTAACTGACAGAGAACATCTATTTTTACTCCCGAAGACGGAGTAAAATATTTTACTCCATTTGAATGAGTAAACTATTTTACCCCCTAAAATGGAGTAAAGCTTTTACTCCAATAAATAGGGTATGTTTTACCATCAAAAATGGAGTGAAAAAGTATTTACTCCTTATGCAAGGGTAACTTTTTTACCCCCAAGTCTGTGGGGTAATTTTTACCCTGTTTATAATTAATTCAATTATTACCCCCCAAAACGGGGGATTCTGTGGACACTCAACTACACCCCCATATATAGGGGTAAATTTTACACCTCAGAATTTACAGTGCATTGTTGCTAAAAACTTGATAGGTTATTTAAGGATTCGGGCAATTGAAGTAAACCGGCTACCGAGGATAATTCTTACAAAAATTTTGTCCTAAATAATACAAATCAAATTAAATCAAATGCAAATAACCCAGTTATGAAAATGAGAGGCCGTTTAAAATTGGCCACCTAAATATAAGAAGCTTAGTCAAAAACATAGACCAGTTACGAATTTATTTATCTAATCAAAAGTATAACATGCTAAGTATAAACGAAACTATGCTTGACAGTACAATATCTAATTATGAAATTAACATAAGAGGCTATGATATAGTTAGAAAAGATAGAAACCGAAATGGTGGTGGGGTAGCATTATATATCAGAAATGTAATTGATTACAAAATAAGAAATGATTTAATGAATGAAAATCTTGAAACAATCACGATTGAGGTCTGTCCTCCAAAGGCAAAATCATTCTTTGTTAACGCTTGGTATCGCCCACCAGATGCTTCTATTGAATGTTTCGAATGGTATATGAAGAATGTATTATAAATATGGACTTAGAGAACAAAGAGACTATTCTTATGGGGGACTTTAATTGTGATTGGAGCAAGTTAGCCAATAATAATGCCGCCTCTCATACGGTTAGAATGGCTACTCTAGCGAGTACTTATCAATTTGAGCAAATGATTAAGGAACCCACTCGGGTAACGGCAGCCTCTAGGACACTGATTGATCTTGCATTATATAACAGACCAGAACTCATGACGATGTCGGGTGTAGATCACCTTGGCATAAGTGACCACAGTTTAATCTACGTATATGTCGAAAAATATCCATTCCACGTAATGAACCAAAAATTATCCGCTCGCGCCAATTTAAACATTATGATAAAAATTCGTTTCTTACAGAGCTTCGGGATATTCCGCAACATACGATAAATGATAAGAACCCAGATGCACTCTGGGAAGATTTTAAAACAAGATTTTTGTTTGTTGCCGACATTCATGCACCTCAAATTACGAGAAAGGTTAAAAGCGAGTACACTCCTTGGATGACAAACGCTATTAATTAAGAAACAGATTTATCATCGAGATTTTCTTAAGAAAAAAGCTATTAACTCAGGATCTGAAAACATGTTTGTCACATACAAAAGAGCTCGAAATGCGTTGAATAAACTTATTAAAGACACAAAAAGGAGTTATTATACGAGTGTTCTAAATGATACGAAAAATAATCCAAAGAATATGTGGAACACAATTAATAAATTAACAAATAAAAATCTAAGACAACTACGATCACCAAGCTTAACATATCAAATGATGTTACTGAAGATCCAAATAAGATATCACACACTTTTAATACCTATATTTCAAGACAATTGGAGAAAATTTAGCTAACGAACTACCAGATACTACCAATGCACCTGAATCATATGTTACTCCTAGTTTTCAAATACCAAATGTGTCTGAGGTAGATGTATTTCAGTTGCTCATTACATTAAAGATATCCAAAGCTTGCGGACATGATAAAATACCTCCAAAGCTTGTGCAAGATTCGGCAGTAGTTATTGCTCCAATTTTAACTCATATTTTTAACCAGTCAATTAATACGGATGCAATGGACTGACATTAGATTGGTTTCGATCTTATCTCACAAATCGTACTCAAATGTGTAAAATTTCCCAAACAGTGTCCTTCCCGGCTGTTATTAGTTCCTGAGGGGTCTAACTTGGGTCCATTACCTTTTCTTATTTATGTAAATGACCTTCCTAACTGTCTATCTTTCTCGAACGCAAGTCTGTTTGCCGATGATACAAATTTAACAACTAGCGGTATATCTCCCGAAGTTGTTCAAAGTCAATTGAATCAGGATCTAGAAAAAGTTCACCGGTGGTTGCTTGCCAATAAATTAACTCTAACACACAAAGAAAAATCATAAGCGTGTCGCAGTGCCTTTTTTAAGGAATTTTCACTGGGGGGGCAAAACAGGAAAAAAAGGCAGAACGAAAAATATGAGCCGTCGAGGTTTGGCGAACGCGCGAGTCTGAAGAGAGATTTTGTAAAATTTAATTTATTAACTTCACCTAAATAAACAATAACTTCAACTCTTTGTAGCTATAATCGTACAGCTATAACCAGTAGCGTAGCCAGACCTTAATTTTTTGGGGGGGGAGGGCGAACCTCACGCCGAAGGCGTGAGACCGTCTAGGAGGGTCCGAGGGCATGCACCCCCGGGGAAAATTTTGAAATCTAGGGTCCCTGAATTGCGATTTCAAGCATTTTGGGAGTGAAATTCCGAAGAGTTCCGAAGATTATAAAGTACATCGAAGACATGAATTTTTCCAGACATTTCTACTCGGAATTAAATAAATTGGAAAAGTCACCTTGCAAAATAGGAGGAGGGGTCAGTGTCACCTTATTTCCTCTATGTGATGCTGGGGGGGGGATCACAATGTGATTTTGATCAGAAATGTTGCATTTAAATCATTTTAAGTTCTATGAGACACCATTTCTGCATTCTCAAAATTGCGTTGCTTTTTCATACGATACAGAATAAATCTGAGAAGAAATATTCATGCTATGATGATGCATACATGTATTTAACAGTTAAAAATCTAAACTAAATCTATTCTTCTTGGAACCAGCATTTTATCGGATTGTTTGCATGAAATCTATCACTATTATGAAATACTCGGTGAAGAACAATATGAATTACACACAAGATGGCTGTGGAGGAGGCTATGGAAGGGCATAATCTCATTATCAAGTAAATCAACTACAATTCTGACAGCAATCATGAGCAATTCTGCTTCGCACTTCGGGGGCAGAAATGGTTTACTTGGGGGGGGGGCAATTTTTCCCTGGGGGGCAATTGCCCTCCCCCCCCAGATATATAGTTAAAAAAGGCACTGACTATGACATATAAAACAACTAAACAAATGGCAAATTCTTGCCTTAGTATAAATTACAAGATTACAGGATGGTAATGAATACCAATTTCACTCACAGTCCACCTTTCCCCTTAGGAATGAACATTCATAGATCATGAGCCCCAGCAGGTCATACTGTGCAGTGCATTGAAATGCTACATTCTATACTGACATGAAGCTTGCTCTCAGTACAAATGAGCTCCAATAAGGTGCGTATTACATCACTATATATGTCACTACATGTAGATTGTTGCAGTATTTGAAAAGAAATGAAAACCGATACCGTAAAAAAATACTGATAATACCAATAAAAGCGATATTTTTTCGCGATTGAATCAATGTGGTTGAATATTTTTTCGCGATTGAATACATGGAATAAAATTTTGTTGAATAACTTTAATAGGTCAGTTACCACAGTCAGGGTTTGGATATGGGTCAGGGTTAGGGAAGGGTTTGGATATGGCTCAGAATTAGGGAAGGATTTGGATATGGCTCAGGATTAGGGAAGGATTTGGATATGGGTCAGGGTTAGGTCACAGTTTGGATATGTGTCAGGGATAGGATATATGGGTCAGGCACTAAATAATTTGAAACTTATGTTTCTACTACAAGAATGTTTATATACTGTTTGTACCATTAGGCCACTACAAGTTAATCTTTAGTTTCTGGTCCGCCGCCCGCATCCTTTCTCCATAAAGTATTATTTCAGGACTATTTTGTTATTTACAATTAATTTCTAGTTCTTGAAAATTCTCGCGAAGGACTTAACTTATAGAACGATAAATATTCAATTTACACAGTCACTAAAAAGACCTAGAAAAATGTAGTATTGAATGGTACAAACGCTGCCTTATCGAGATTACGAGGTAAAAAGACTAGAAATATTAATAGATCATTTTGATATCTAAAATCCTTTGTAATCTGACATACATGTCGATTTATAAATAACATAAATGCAATTTATATAGAATTTCATAACATTTTGATACAATTAGCATGAAAAGGGACAAGAAAGACAACAAAAATGTGGGCAAAGCCACAATTGTAATTATGTCCTATAATCCTAACCACCTACCCGCGTCGTAAACGAAGGTAAGGCCGGACCAGAAACTAAAGATTAACTTGTAGTGGCCTTTAATACAAGTTTACAACAACATTGAAGCTTTGAATTTATCCTGGTATTCTATAATTACTCCAAATGCATTAATTTTATGAAAAATATTTGGATTTCGTAGGATTTTCTTGAAAAGACGAGGACAGAAATTCAGCTGGTGGACAATCAACTGCAGCAAGAAAAGTTCTGACTTGCGGGACTTATGTTGCAGTGCCGTGGCAAGCCTTTGGGGAGCTCATATTCATATATTCGTGTTCTGCGTTATTAATTTCTTTTGAAATCGATTGTTTTTATGGTCTGTGAACACGAAGATCTGAATATGAGTCCATTGCTACGGCACTGTGTTGAATGGCACTGAATGTGCGACAGCAAGTGAGCAAGCTATTTAATAAAATGACAAGTTCGATCACAGTGCATCACACTACATGACCATGATGACCTACCTGTGTATAGAATAGGGAACTTTTTGTATTAAGCACGCTTCATATCTTCTTAGATTATAGTGGGTCGATCTCAATGTCAAGCCATAATACTCCATGTAGGGTAGAATGTGTGCCTGATAATCACAGAATAGAGATCGATTCTGTCAATTGCTGTGCTAAAAATTTTTCTTCCTTCTTGTTCGACGAGCACATGTGACATCACAGGAGGCCCAGGCTCGATTTGCCCGCGCCCGCCTGTGCCTTCGCGGGCAAATCGAGCCTGGGCCAGTGAACTGTAAATAACCAGTTATTTGGAAAATTAAACGAGACTTACCTGTAAGTTGAAGTTTGATTGGAATTCTATCACTTAGTTCTATCTTTAGTTACAGCCTTACATCATGCTGTCAAGTGGCAATCATTTACAAAGCAAATGATCGATCGATCGATCAGACGTGTAATATATCGCTCCACATTATTCTTAAATTTTTTTGAGTTATTTGCTGGAATACTCTGTGGCAAGTATTGTAATCGAAATGCAAGAACTACGGCTTTGCTGGACGGGTGATTTGGAGAAATTGAAGCTTTTTGTAAGCAAGAATGTTGATTTTGTCGGCGAATGGACTTCACCAGGCAATGATAAAAAAAAATACAGTGATGGTTATAGCTCAATATCCTGGCGCAAATCCAAGAAAGTGTTGGAAATAGAAGGCAGAGACAGGAACCTCATAACAGCTAAGTTGTGTTCAATGTTATGTAATGATTTCGATCCTGTACAGTCAAGCAAAAGCGACAACTATTGCGGATTCCCTTCCACAAGCAATGAAATGCTTGTTGAATTGGAGGGCGTTAAACTCGATGTAACAATTACTGAGAAAGATATTCGTGATAATAAACATAGCATTAAAAACGTGGAAGATTGCCTTGATAAAGTAGTTGGTAAATTAAACATTATTAACCAACAGTTTGATGTATTTAGGGCAGAGTTTCAGTTGTTGAAAAACCAACATACGATTCAATGTTCGCCTAAAGCTGTCGAATATTCAAATTTGGACAATCAAAACGCCTCCGGATTGCAAAAACGTCATGAGGAAAACAATAACATAATAGGATCGAATCTAAATGATGACATTGTAATGAGTCGTAATGATGCATTACAATCTCTGGCAAATTTGCGGTCTGAGTGCCTTTCCAATGTTTGTTATGATACTCAATTAAAGCGTCTTGAAAGGGAACTGCATGATGAACAAGATAAAACCAAGCAACTTGAATCTGAGCTAACGGTTGCCGAAACAAAAATCTTACAACTCGAACAGGTACTAAACCTACACGAGTTAGAACAAACGAGTAAAGAAACTGACAATGGGCTTTGTCATGATCATTCCTGCATTATTTTGGAGACACTCAGCACTAATTGCATTAGAAATCAACACGCGCCTCCGACTCAAGAGAATACCTGTACTAATAAATATATTACATCTCAAGAATTACCACCTAACCCTCGAATACCACCAAAACAAGTTGATAAGCAGGAGCCTCAAAAACATGCTGGTCAAGTAAGTCAATTCCCAAAACATACGGAAATTTCGGACATAACTAACTGTTATGCCATCCCGACTCGCGTTACCCATAGAACACCATCAAAGAAATCGACGTGGCGACGAAATAAACATGGCGCTAGAATCAACCAGACTGAGGAGGGTTTTCGCAAGGACAAATGGAAAGCCAATATGAGGTTTTTCCAGTATTATTACTAGAACATGATTTTTCCCTATCAGGTCGCCCTACTTCAATTCATCGCGGACAACGTAATTTAAACAATATTATTCAAATTAACATTAATAAAACTGTTATTTCCAATGCTAATGACTATTTCTACGTTCCGAAACTATTATTGACAAATACGATGTCATTAGCTCCCAAAATTGATGAAGTGAGTTGTTTTGTCACAGAAAAGAGTCCTGACCTTGCCTGTATAACGGAAACATGGCTAAATGACCGTATCTCAGATTTTTGCCTCGATATTCCAGGTTACAATTTTGTTCATAAAAACCGCAGTGTGGGCTCCCACGGAGGGGTTGGGGTGTACATCAGGAACACGATATTTTATAAGCCTCTGAATCATCTCCACCATATAGATTACGAAGTTCTGTGGGTCTATGTTCGTCCAAGTAGACTTCCCCGTGGGTTTTCCTGCTTGATACTTGGTGTCGTTTACCATCCACCTAATGCTAATGATGATGAAATGCTCCAATTTCTCTCCACATCACTGATTACTATTGAAAGCACTTATCCTGGCTGCGGGTTTATTCTTGCAGGCGACTTTAATCGGTTAAAATGCAATCGGATATTAACACAGTTCAGTTGCAAACAGATTGTTAACGTTTCCACAAGGGCCAACCAGACTTTGGATCTAATAATAACCAACTTACATTCGTTTTATGATAAGAACTCTGTCGAAAAATTTCCGCCATTTGGTCTTTCAGATCATAATGTTGTGATTGTCAATCCTTGCAAAAGAGAAGTCATGCAGTAGAAGAATTATCTCTAGTAGAGATTTACGATCTAGTAAAAGGCATGAGCTTGGAAGATACCTTACATCTATCGATTGGTCCTCTCTGAATCATTTTGACACATGCGAAATGAAACTCCAGTATTTCGAAGAGTTAGTACGTCTCGGTATTAGCACCATTATGCCAATAAAGAAAACGGCTTTGCATGTACACGATCCTCCATGGATTACTGCAGAATTTAAAGAGCTTATAAGGAAGCGTCAAGCTGCCTTCTGCAGTGGAAATACCTTTCAGTTCAAGTATTACCGGAATCGGGTTAACCGCGAGCGAAAGACATGCCGGGCGAAATTCTACTCTTCAAAAGTAAAGAATCTTAAATCGACCAAACCGAAGAGATGGTGGAAGGAGGTGAAGCAGATTGCTGGTATGGTACCTACAACCGGCTCCGATGACCTATGTAGTCAACTTCATTTAGACGATATCGAGAATATGCAACGTCCTGACATTGCGAATTTAATTAATAACGCCTTTTTGGAGCCCATGAACTCCTTCAATCCACTGGCAACCCTTCCCCCCTTTGATAATTATTCCTCTTTTCAAGTGAACGAATTGGAAGTCTTTCATTTACTGAAAGCAATTAATCGTGGAAAGGCGTCAGGTCCTGACGAAATTCCCAATTGGGCTCTTAAGGAATATGCTGAAATCCTTGCACAGCCAGTATGCGCTGTGCTAAACAGCAGCTATGCCGAACAACAACTACCTAAATCTTGGAAGCTTGCCAACATTGTGCCGCTCATAAAAACTAAGCCCGTTAGCGACATTTGTAAGCAGTTACGACCAATTTCACTTACTGCCGCTATTTCGAAAATCGCCGAGGACTGTGTTGTTAAAAAATACATTGCTCCAGCTATCATGAGTATAATCGATCCAAGTCAATATGGAGTAATACCAAGAAGTTCAACTACTCTCGCTGTTATATCTATGATCCATGAATGGTCGCAAGTTACTGATGGCACTGGCTCTGCTGTCAGAGTCATCCTGTTCGATTATAGAAAAGCATTCGACCTTATCGATCATGCTTTACTGGCTGATAAAATTTCCAATTTAGCTATTCCACGTGCGGTTGCTCGCTGGACAATCGATTTTTTGATGAATCGAAAGCAGAGAGTGAAATTATCCAATGACTGTTATTCGGAGTGGGGAGATGTACTTTCCGGTATCCCTCAAGGTACAAAATTAGGGCCCTGGCTATTTTGTTTAATGATAAACGATCTTGATATTTGTGATATATCGAGGTGGAAGTTTGTTGATGACACAACAGTTGCTGAAGTAGTTAGTAAGGACACAGAGAGCCGTGTTCAAGTCGCAGTTGATGTTGTGGAAGATTGGTCGAAGGCAAATGGGCTATCTCTTAACACTGAGAAATGTAAAGAACTGAGAATCGATTTTAAAAGAATTAAACAACATTTTGATCCTGTACTGGTGGGTGGAGAAGCATTGCCTATAGTTGAGAGTGCAAAAATATTGGGTCTTGTTATGACAGGCACACTTCAGTGGAAAGATAACATCAGAGAGAGTATAAAGAAAGCTAATAAACGCCTCTATTTTATAGTACTATTGAAACGGGCAAGCGTAAATGTCAATGATGTCTTGAACTTTTATTGTACAGTGATCAGGCCTGTGCTCGAGTATTGTGCGCAAGCCTTCCATCATTCCATCCCAAAGTATTTGGCAGACGAACTTGAGACTGTCCAGAAACGTGTGCTAAAAATTTTATCTCCTGAAATGACATATTGTGAGGCCCTTGAGTATTTTAGACTGCCTACTCTATTTCAAAGAAGAGAGGACATGTGTGACAAACTCTTTACGAGTATCATCAAGGATCCAATGCATAAACTTCATCATCTGCTGCCCCCGAAGAACGAGACTGATTATTCTTTCAGGACGAATCGGTATTTTAATATGTACGTTACACGCACGAACCGCTTTTATAACTCTTTTATCCCTGCTATGTGTAGGAAGTTTGTAGGATAGATTTTATGCTTATTTTAATCGAATTTTGATCGTGGGTGGGTTTTATAATATTGTATTAATAATATATTTATATGTAGTGCATGTGATAATATGTAATCCACGCAATTCAGCTTCTGGCTGCAATGTGGTTTCAATTTAATAATAATAATAATAATAATAATTATGGCACATAGAGTCAGGAGATTACATGAGATAGCACGGCGCATGCGCGGGTTCATTCTTTAAAGCATTTTGCTGGGTTCATCAGTACAAATACACACAGTGATATTGATAATTCCAATACACCCAGTGATAAACCCAAAGTAGGGACATGGGCAATATAATATGTACATATATTATACATCTGATGATGCAGGGTGGGCATGTAATCTCCTGACTCTATGTGCCATGTGATAGAATTCCAATCAAACTTCAACTTACAGGTAAGTCTCGTTTAATTTTCCAATTCTATCACATGGCACCGAGTCAGGAGATCCCATGAGACTTTAAAGCCCTGATGTACCCAGCAATGACATATACCAAATTTAGGCATGAGACATGGTGAACAAAACCATATTATTATCAACTCAACATGTTGTAAGTACTGCCTCAGTCATAGTTATATCAGAGGCTACAGGCTTATTATAGTATTTTTGAAATGTACTGTCTGAGCTCCAACCTGCTGCTGATTTTATCAATATGTCCAATGGTACACTTTGGTAAGCTTTCGATGTGGCAGCCGCTCGAGTACTGTGTGCCGAGTATACTGTGGTGTCAATCCCAGCATTATCAAGGACAATTTTAACCCATCTTGATATTGTGTCTCTTGACACAGGTTGATATGGTTTTTGATAGCTTACAAAAAGTTGCTTATTATCCCCACGTACACTTTTGGTTCTTTTTAGGTACTCTCTTAAAACTAAGATAGGACAAATATTTTTGTCAGGTGTGTACTGCTCAATCTTGAGGATCGTAGTCCCTGATCCTGGCTTACTAGTCTTCATATGCTCCAGAACTTGAAACTCGCATGAGGTCTCGCTTAAGGTCATCTTACTGAGACTAAGACAGTGTATTGTTTGACCTCGCTGCCCTGTCACCAGTAACAATAACATAACTAACTTCAACGTCAAATTTTTTAGTGTCTGTTCTTCATTGGGTGTAAAAGTTCCCAGATACTTTAAAACCACAGAGACATCCCATATGGAATTGTACTTAGGTTTTGGTTTCCGCAGTTCAAATATACCCTTCATAAACTTGACAACTATATGATGGGATCCAAAACCCTGACCATCTGGCAAACAAATTATGGTTGACAATGCTGAACGTGCAGTGTTTATAGTAGAGTAACTCAGTCCCTGTTGAAACAACATCCTCAAAAACGACAGAGCTTGGTTCATTGTTGGTGAATGACAAGCAATCGTCCTTTGACGACAAAAGTCCAACCACTTTTGGATGTAGGTGGAATATTGTTTCTTGGTACCTGTTCTCCAAGATGACATAATGATATCTGTAACTTCTTCTGAAAGGTCATCTGCCGCGAAGCGATTCCGGAGACAGGACAAACCATCAGGCGAAGGGTTTTGGCTAGTGGATGTGATATCAACTGAACTGGGTGCTGCAGGAGGTTTGTTGATGGTGCGAGGATCCATGGTTGATCGAACAGTAGCTGTAATAGTTGTGGAAACCAGGCCTGGGTCGGCCAGAAGGGAGCGATTAGTACTCCTGAGGCTTGGTCTTGTAGTGTCTTTTGCAAGCAACGAGGAACTAAACTAAATGGTGGAAAGGCATAACACATCTTAGTATCCCAGTTTAATGTAAAAGCATCAACTGCAATACACCCAGGATCTGGTCGCCATGCAACATATTGTGCAAGTTGGAAATTTACTCGGCTTGCAAACAAGTCAACTTCCAGGCTGGGAAATTTTGTTAAGATGTTCTGAAATGTTTGCTTATTTAACTTCCACTCATTCTTATCATGAAATACTCGAGACATTCTATCTGCCTCAACATTAACCTTGCCAGCTATATGAGTTGCAGAGATCCAAATGTTCCTTTCAATGCACCACTGCCAGATTTCAACTGCTAACTGGTTGAGAGGTCTAGATTGTGTCCCCCCCATTTTGTTAAGATAAGCAACTGCAGTTGTATTATCAAGCTGCAAATGAATGTGCCCATCTCTGTCATTGACACAGAGTGATTTCAAGGCAAAAAAGGCTGCCTTGAGTTCTAGCACATTGATGTGTGCCTGTTGTTCAATGATACTCCATCTACCCCCTGTAGAGGTACCCTCTCGGACTGCCCCCCATCCTTGTGTAGAAGCATCAGATTGAATGATAGCAAATGGTTTACCATGAATAATCTTACGAGTGGAATTTGGTAGATTTGTAATCCACCATTCCAATTCATGCTTGCACCTATCAGTTAATGTCATTTTAGCGCCATAGACCCCACAAGCTAATGTTAATGCTGCAGATTTAGCCATTTCTAGTTCTCGATAATGCAAAGGCCCATACTCCACTCCAGGGAAATTGGAGACTAATAGACCAATTACTTCTGCAACCTGTTGTATTGTAGTTGCAGCTTTAGCTAACAATAGTTTGCAAGCGGCCACTGTCTTGTCTATTTTCTCCTGTGTTGGGGAGACTGTCATGTTGATTGAGTTAAGTATAAACCCAAGAAACACAAGAATTTGTGTTGGGACAGTGACGGACTTCTTGGGGTGAGGTATAAATCCCAACTCTGTCACAAGTGTTTTTGTGGCTGATATATTGCGAGAACATTCTGCAGGGGTGTCCCCTTGGAGGTAGGAGTCGTCAATGTACCCTGAACTCATATGGCCCATACTATGTAGGGTAGAATATACTGGTTTTAGTAATTTTGTAAATATACGTGGAGCACTCGAGAGTCCATTTGGAAGGCAGGTATACTGATAGAGGCGACCCAAAAATTCAAATTTTAGGAACTTTTGGTATGCCGCATGCACTGGCACCATATATAGGCATCAGTGAGATCAATAGAGGCCATATAACAATTTGGCTTCATCATTTTTACTGCTGCATCTAAAGTGTCCATTTTAAAATGGCGATGCTTCACAAATTCATTGAAAGACTTGAGGTTAAGTATCATACGATATGAGCCGTCTTTTTTAAGTCTGAGAAAGATTGATGAAATAAATTCACCTAGCTCATGTATGGAGGGAATAATAACCCCCTTGCTAAGAAGCTTATTAATCTCATTTCCAATAATTGCAGTTTGACTCATGTTAAAATGGCGAACTTTGGCTGCATATTGGCTGGGATGTTGATCATTAAATTCAATGTTAACACCCATGACATAGTTCAATATGACTGGGTCTGAGGTCAGTTGCTTCCATCGATCAACAAAATGTTTTAAACGTCCAGCAATTATTGACGTGTCAGACGAATCAACAGTATGCAATGAATATGAACTGACAGTTTCTCTTACCTTACTATGTACAGGTTGTGTTATTGAGGAATTTACTGCTTTTTTGCAGCTCCCCCTCTCTTTTTCTTTGCATTGTGAAACCGACCTCGGTCGAAAAAATTTTCACGTCGTTGATATGGGTGGCCACGTCTGTATTGCCCAGTAGAAAACCGGCTATAAGTGCCAGAACTAGACTGTCTGCTTCGTGCAGTAGCAGTCTGGTATGGGCGAACTTTCTTCGCCAACTTGTTTGCATCCGCAATATCTTTGGTGTGTTTGGACAAGTCGCCAAACAAAAATTCCCCACTAGGAATTGGAACATTGCACAGTGCTTGAAAATCTGTGTGCATGTCCTGTTTCATAGCAATACGACGTGCTTGATTTATATCATGTTGACACTGGGTAGCCACTGCAATGCCATCTGTCAAAGATGTTATCAGCGTTGCATCAGGATTTCCGCTTTTGAGCACGTGGTCCGCCGCTTGCGTCATGGCAACTATGGCGCCAACGAGAGCATGCTGTGTTCGCTGTTGTTTGGCGTCGTTGGTCCGAACCCCAGCAGAGAGTTGGTTCCATATAAGTGGATTAACTCTGGGAGTTCTAAGATTTTCTAAGTTTTGGGGTCGGGGATACTTCCCAACTTTCTCTCGCCATTTCTCATCGGATAATTTGGTGCTCAAAAGGCCCTCGACTATGGAGGCAAGACGCTCTTGAACAGCGGCGCCCATCTGTTCACTAACATCGAGCTCTTGTGCTATAGTTGTAAGGAGGCTATCTGAACTTGTCGTCAAATCCTCGCTACTTTTCGTCTTGCTGGTTTCCTTAAGGAGACGTTCAACTTTAGTGTCAAGACATGTAGACACAGTTTCCGAGTCGCTACCTTGTCCTTCGTCAATGTCCAGGCGAAGCTCGTCGTCAAAAGTAGAGTCGTCAAATGTAGAGGTGAAATTATTTATTTCGCCACGCACGGATGCCATCTCGGAGGCCATGCTGGCTTTGAATTTTCTCATTTCTTCCATAAACTCGGCGAGAGGCGAGACTGTGTCGCCGACAGGGCCAGGACTAGAGCTGGCTTCTCTTTGCCTTCTCTCAACCGGTGCATTGCCATCGGCCATTTTATATGCACA